AACCGCGCGCCCAGCACATCCCGCACGCCTGTCGTCCACTACTTCGCGCGTACCGCTAACGCCCGCGGCCTGCTCGACTGCCGTGCACCCTCGTACTCCCAGCGCTACCCGCGTGCGCCCCTCTTCGCGTTCCTCGACCTGTGCACCAATCGCCCGCGTACCTCTTGCTCGATCACTGGACCAATCGCGCGCATCAAGTCCCGATGCGCGCTGCTGGCTCGCACCTGTGTTCATTGGCCCATAGCAATCCCCCTCGCGCGCTATCCACCCAACAACCTCCCCCTGCGCGCCACTCCGCCTAATCTCCAATCTCCATGCACGTCTACGCCATTGTGCGTGTGCGCGCCCTTGTCTATTGCCTTGTACGCGCCGCTTCTCATGTGCTCGAGTGCCCCGCACACGCGCTCGTAACCGCCTCTTAGGCCATGCTTGCATCGTTTTGGCCCTATTTTCAGCTTCCTTGGGTCGTCTTGGCTCTTGGATCTTCTTGTCGTCGGGGCTCGGAACCCACTTCCGCATCACAGCGCCCGTGCGCATCCCAGCAACTCCCAGCCGTGCATGACCGTGCCAGCGAGCAGCCCGGGGCCCGACCCAAGCTTTCCTTATAATTTTTCCCGAACCCTTATGTGTGCCTTTGACCTGTTTGACTTTGTTTTACGTGCTAAGACTATGTGTGTTATTATTATGCATTTTGGTCAAGTCTATATGTAGGATCCAAGTGTTCCAATATCCACGGAACTTCACGAACTACTTGGTTGAATCAAGTTCGACCAAGGATGCTTGTGATTGTTCTCTAAGGTCAAGTAGGTGTTGATCTTAGTATTAATTGTTGTAGGTGTCTGACGAGCCGTGCTCGCTGCCTACACCTGTTTGTATGCCATTTTTCTCCGTTGCTACACCAGGTGGGTTGTAATTGTAAAATTTGTTATGCCATATGTGTTTATCATAATGTTGACTTGGTATGATTTTAGTTTGTACGTAAACCATGTAGCCTATCGGCGTGAGCCGATTCGGCCGTCGGTACGGTTGTCCCCGTCGATGTAATACGGTTACCTGCGAGGTAA